CATGTACAGGTCTCAAAGTACATGTAAGGAGGACTTCATTTTGTACGATATCATGCCGGGGGATAACAAGTACATTATTTTATTTAATAAATCTTGTCATACATATATTTACTGTAAAAGGATATTGCATTACTAACTTTTTATCTAATGCTAGAATGTGGCAGGATTTTAAGCACTGTTACCATGTACAGCTCAGTCAAGCAGTTTTAAAATCTTAAGTTGTGTTGACTTAAAGCTGCCAGTTTCTTCTAAAGACACAACAACATCAAGTCAAAATAGAAATCAGGAAAAATTTTCCTACCCACTGCAGGATTTTCTGAAGAAACAAAAAGGACTTCATCATCTCTGAAAAATAAATAAACTGATTACTACTTACATGTATAAGAAAACGTAACTTCTGTCAACTACTCTCAGTGAAACAATGAGGAAAAACTGAGGTAACCTAATGGTTAAAGATCACCTTCAGTATAGACTTGGATCACTTACATTGTTCTGACTTAGGATAACATACAGTGTAAACTATTAGGACCTCATAGAGGGTGGACTAAAACAAATCTACACGAAAAATATTATTTGTGAAATACTGCTGTCCAAAAATTTTGGATTTGGTTAATAAATCCATGATTTTCTGAACCTTGACAAAATCTCGAAAATAGCCGCCATTTTGATTCACAGTCAAATGTTCGGCCAAACTATCAAGGGTTACCTGTGGTAATTTAACATTCTATCTGGGTGCGGGAATAGCAATACTCCAAGTCACTTTATGTGGCAAAAACTAGTCAGGAGTTGAGTGCTTTGAACTTTCAGGCCTTTTTGACCCTAGCAGTAGTGCCCAACAAACTCCCCTTTTGGCCACAGTAACCTAATAACACCATTATTATTTTTATACTTTTTTAATGTTTCATGGATATTACTTTAATGTTTTAGGAGGCAGGATGTATGGCCAGGTCAGTTTAGGGTGCTGGTTTGACTTGTCATTTTAGAGATCACACGTTCAATACCCGCCCCCCCACTCCCTCAACTTGCCACTGGTTGGATTTGTTTCTTGATGGTCCCGTGTTCAACACCTTGGTTACAGCTTATAACTTAGCAACTGTTCTGCCTCCTTATAGTTGGGATTTTTAAACAATGTGGCCCAGCAGGCTGGAGCTTATCCCCGTTACTGTAGCATTAAGCAACTAGGAGCAATGGTATTTCTTCTCCTCCTTGGATGGGATGCTAGTCCATCTATATAGAATGAGCTATACCTGATCAAATCAACATCATCTATTAAGCCTCCATTTTTAGTGTAAACTGCAACTGCTCTATGAAGACCAAGCTTGCACTGAGCTGCAAGAAGCAGGTCCTTAAGTGTACCAGGGACAGCAATCACCTTCAGTGGGAAAATTAATTAGAATTTTATGAATTGAGGGTAACAAATGGTTACTGTTTTTGTTGAAAACAAAAAAAATCAACAAAAACAGTTATGCAATGACGCTTTTCATGTCAAAACAAGTCAGTCTGCCAAAAATTAGCTCAATCCTGCAAAAACTAAAAATCAGCCCAAAATGCTACATACGCCCTTTTTGTATGAAAGCCTTCAATTCATGTGCATTCACAGTACATTCACATACACCTAAAATTATAAGGCACAGGTCAGGAAAATGAATCGTGCTGAATTTATGAGATATACATCGGAAAAGAAGACCTATAACAAAACTATGAGTAGTCGGTTTCTGTTTCGTGACATCCTCCGAACGCGGGATAGATTTAAGATTATGCAAATAAGGGAAAGAAATTAATGAGGAGGGAAAAAGAAAGAGACTGTTCGGCTATAATTAAAACAAAGAAGCCCTCAGAACTCAAAAGCGACGCTTCATTTTCGAGTTTTGGGAATGCTTTGCTTTGGAGTTCTGGAGACTTTGTCTCTAAGTCTAGGCTCATCGTTTTCGAGATTTAGAACTTCGTGCCGAGGTCCACGTTTTCAACGCGCTTTCGAACTCTCCTTCGCCGCCAACTGTGTATTAAATAACTAAAAAAAAAAAATCAAAATCGTACCTTCCCTACCACAGGCGCACGTCCCTTGGCAAACACCATCACCCTCTTTTGAACATACTGGGGCATATTTCATTGGTTGAACGAAGTCGTTAAGAGATTCCATCACAAACTAAGAACATAATGTCGGTAGAATGTTTGCGAAGCAAGAAAATAGACAGGCGCATGTTCGTAGCTAACGAGCATTCCTGGGGTCCAGTCTCCAGTCCCTCTCAGATTGCTACACATTTTTGGCCTGCGCTTTTTTAGCGAAAAATGCAGAAAACCTTTGAAATGAAACCAAAATAGCCTTAAACCAGGACCACCTCGTAAATCTTTGCTGGTAAGTCCTAATATCCCAAAATTTTATTGTAAGCTGACGTGTATAGAGCAGGCAGGTGATATGCTAACGATCGCCCGCAAATTTATCTCTGTGATCAAATTTGCGTCGAATGTCTTAGAGGCTAACTTTATTTTAAACATTAACGATTCGTCTTGGTGAAAGAGTTAAATTTGCTTTTGTTCAAAAACACTGGTCTATAAAATGTACTCGCGTTGATTAATTCCAAACACACGTTAGCTGCTCTAGCTCCACCTTGGCTTCAGACAGAGTCTTTCTGGAAGAATTGAATTAACAAAGTATGAATGTGAATTCAAGCCTATAAAGTTTATTTGTCTTTAAGAAAACAGGTCATACATGTACAACCCCATGTGGTAGGCGAGTATAGCTCTAGCCACTGCATTCTGGCATTGACAGTGCATATGTAGGAAAAAAATCATTCATATCAGATTAATTTATTTAATACTTCAACCTCATGTATTACATTGTGTACTTCCTGTTTTGTTACACTTAATTTTTGTGTAGATCATTTTGCTGGAATTATGGCAAAACCTACAGGACATCTGTTGCGTCAACTCAGGTCATTAATGAGAAGTAAACATCAACTGGCTGAAGCAATTCAAGCTTACATTATCCCTTCTGGAGATGCACATCAGGTTAACTAATCACACTTGATTAATTATGCAATGTGTTTTTGCAATAAGTTAACCTTGAAAAGATTTTGGTTTGAAAATCTCAAATGAAACTCGCGCTGATTTCTTCACCATTGTGTGGTTCCAGAAAACATCCATACCTCCCCCATGGAAAGGATTTTTTCCAAGACCCCCCCACCCCTCCACCCCTCTGGAAATTCCAATTAAACTTGATACATTTCTTTAAATTTTTTGGTCTTAGAGAACCTCCCCACTCCCCAGGAAATTCCAATCCCTTCTGTTGGGTGGGGGGAGGGGTATAGATATTTTCTGGTACTGCTCATTTTGGAAAATGTGCAGTTCAAGAAAATATCCATACCCCCCTCCCCCTCCCCAGAAGGGATTTGGAAGGAGGAAGCCGGCAGGGCAAGCAAAACAAACTGCCCCCTGTCCCTTGGCTCAAGGTCTGGATCTGCCACTGTATTCATTCCCACAAAACTAAATATTATGTAGTATCATAGGTAGACAATGCATTGGGTGTTATTGTAGAGGATTATTTGGCTGTAATTAATATTTCTTTGCATTAGCTCCTTGCATTTAATGTCTAGGTCTCTAACAATCATGTTGAAATATTTTTCTCAGTCATATAGGTAATAACCTTCCTGTGTGCTGCTATTATTGAAGTTTGAATTCACAAAATATAGAGTTTACCACAGCTACATGTATCGTATAGTTTATTATAATTATAATCATTAATAATACATGTAACTATTATTTTGCAGAATGAATATCTTGCCTCGTGTGACCTAAGAAGAGAATTTATCTCTGGCTTCAATGGCTCAGCAGGTATATGATTTGTAAAAAAATGAAACTAAAAACAACTATTCAAACAAAAATAAGAACAACCTTACAAAAATAACTCACAACAACCGCAGACAACAACTGCAACTAGATATCAACAGATTCCCAAGTCCCCTTCTCTTTCACTCTACACTCCCAACCCTTTGGATCTACCCTTAGAGAGGCTCTACAAGAATTGAGTTTCTTTATGAACACCACAGCAGAAGACTCACCTGTCTAATGAAGTCTGGGATCCAAGATCACTCAATGGGGAGTCCATTTCATCAATCATTATGTCCCATTCTGATTGCCATAGCAGTGTGCTGTTCACACGCTAATTTTGGAATTACTTAATATACACATAGGTACTGCAATTGTCACAGAAACCAAGGCAGCGCTATGGACAGATGGACGGTATCATCTGCAGGCTGAGAAACAATTGGATTCAAATTGGACTTTGATGAGGGATGGTATGTTTTGTCCCAATTTGACAAACAGTATGGACCAAACTAGGAAACAGGAATCGTTTTTATACTTATATTATATTTTAATTTTAACAGTGTCCCCGATTAGTAAGTTTAAGGCTAGCTAGAAGACTAGACACTCAAATAAAGTTATTATAATAATTATTATTACCATTTTAACATATACACTGACATAGTGTATACTATTAATATCAGTTTGTGGCTAGCTGTACATGACTGTATGTCATGACTATGTCTTTTTTAATGTGATAGTCATACATGTGCCATTGCAGGGTTACCTGACACTCTCTCTCAGGAAGACTGGCTTATTCAGGTACTAATAAATTCACTACAGTAACTACTTAATCTCAAATATACTCTTAATTATCTGGAGTTATATATTTTTTATGGTCAACTTAAGCAGAAAATACAAGGAAAAGAACAAAAATATAATTTATACCTTTTGTGGAGGTGCAGTGGCCTCATGATTAGACTTAATTAGTGCACTTGACAAGCCAAAAGACATTCAGAGAGAAGAGAATTCCACTACAGTAGATTTATAAGTTTTATTATAATTAAATTATTGAAAATGCAATTTTTAGTCTTGCTTTTCATTCATGATGTTTACAAGTACTTCTTTCACCTTTAGTTAATTTTATTATTGATTAACTTTTGAAAGAGTTACATGTATGAATGAATAGTGATTGAAAAGGAATGAATAAATGAATAATGAAAGGATAAAATAATATTGTTGTTCTACAGATTAGGCTAATATATTTTTTGTTTTCTAACTCGTCATTAAGATTTAAATGATTTTGTTTTTGTAAATGTGCTTTTGATCAATTTTTTTAAATGGAATTAGCAGTTATTAGTAGTTTGTCTTGTGTGATTGTCTACATGTAGGTGAGGGTAGTTCTGAAAAGAACTGTGGTTGGCTAGTGACGTTTCAACAACCTGAGCGGAAGTCATCTTCAGAGTCAAGTGAATAATTTGTAGTCAATCGATGATCAATCAATCAATCAATCAATAAACTTTATTTAAGTGTCTAAAACTTCTAGTCAGCCGGGAGGCCAACTAATTGTGGACACTCCCAATGAAATTACTAAAGAAATAAATTAAGTTAAGTTAAGTTATGATGTTATAAGTCTGGTCTGTTGAAAGTGATTCTTCAGTTTAGTTGTGATGGTATTGGCTTAGAGACTCGTGCAAATTACATGTANTATTTACAGTACAGTTTAAAACTTTCAAGGACGTAATTTCTTGGGCAGCACCATTACACGGTATTCAAGGCCAATATACATGATAGAGCCAGAACTCTGATTAGGCTTTGCTCGATCTTTTTAATCACTTTGTGGTTCGAGCTCTAGTTGAGACGCTGCTTTAGATACGGAGCGGCTTGATAGAATTTTGTGTTATTTTCTCGTTGGTGTATCTGTAAAACCTTGAAGGTGCAGTAAAACTATTATTTCACAGACTTTTCAGTCCAGTTCATACTCTGTAGGCGTAAACTTACTCTAGCTATGTTTCAGCAAGTTGTCCGAAATGTTTGTTTGAAATTTGCCCAAAACGAGCTGAAAAGTGTCCAAAAATTAAATGTCCAAAATAAAAGGTCCAAAACTTTTTTGAAAGTAATGTATGCCCGATTCCACTCTAACTTTGCAATACCATCTTTACCCCCCTTCCTGCTTTCAGCTTGTTTATTGATGTAGCTAAACTTGACAAAGCAGTGTCCAGTCACCTTGGCTTGGACAGTACTAATGACAACAGTGAGACTAAAGTGACTGTGTGTCCGTATGAGGGAATATGGGACGCTGTCAAGGAAGCTGCTAACAATGGAACAAGGATTTGGGTATGACTGTTCATCTGCATTTGTGATAGGGTGATGGAAAAGTCTTTGCCCCGTCCACGCTACGCCGAAGGAATTTGAAAAAGGAAGTTTCACTGTCCACACTGCGCCGGAGGAATTTAAAAACGGAAGTTTCACTCTGGAAACGCATCAAATGTTTTCCGTCCAATCTACATCGGAGGAATTTGAAAACGAAAGTTTCTCTCTGAAAATGCATCAAATGTTTTCTGTCCACATTACGCCGGGGGAATTTAATTTAGTCACCGGTCATTTTTTGTTTCCCAAATGTTTTCCGTCCACACGAAAACGAAAAGCCGTCGTTTTCAAATTCTTCCGGTTTGAAGTTAACAAATTGACATCAGTTTTTTATGCGTCCG